CACATTTCAGCTGATTTTTCTGTGCTGTTTTTCTAAACGAGTGTTAAAGATGGTAAATAATTTGTTCCACTGGTAGATCACACTTCTATATAATAAACAGATCAGATTGGAAGTGTGCATTCTAGTAGTAACTGAATTTGTGGCACATTTAAATTCTGAATACATTTGTGACTGTTCATTACTTCTCTAATTTCTAAAAGTTCATTTAAGCTGTCAGATTTGAGCAAAACATTTTGGTGATTAAGACAAATATATCTTAAAATTTTATTGGAGAGATAACCTTTAAGGGACAAAAGACACTACTGTATAAAGATATAAGAAATATTTGACATGTAGAAGGAAATGGATATTTAAAAAACTTTATTTTCTGGAAAAAAAAACAACCACATTTAGATACTGATTACTTCTTGCTGAAAATTATAAATGTAAAAGAATGTTACTATTTTATTATCCTGGAAAGACTTTAAATTTGCACTTACTCTTGCTGACGTGCTGACACACAAAAAAAATACCAAAAACAAAAACCCCAAAACCCTAAAAAAAAAAAACACAAGAAAAAATATTTTTTTTAAAGAAATCAACCTTTGGTATGCAAGAAGGGTGCAACATTTTCCTTTGGTAGAGATACAAAGGCATTTAGTTTTGGCTACGCCTTCCATTTTTGTTACACTCCTGAATCCTACATAGGAGGTGGCCAGGCCATGGCAAATGCACTTTCTATCTTAACCCTAGCTATACGAGACATGGGTTCCAGGTCAGAACTTGTGGGTGGGGGGAAGGTCTGTCCTGGGGCAGTCTTGTGATTGAAGTCATAGAGACAGCTAGGGGCCCTCCAGCGTGTAGTGAGCTCTGAGCCTTTCCTTAGGCAGTAAAGCCAGAGCTATCTGAATGGATGGAGAATATCTCAGGAATTCCTTGTTCAAGCAAACAGGAGTGGAGTCTCTTTGTCGTTAAAGGGAGATCACGATCTGCGCCCTAACAGGAGCCACATTCACACTGGTGTTGGGAACATTGCATGAGCTGAGACTGGGGCAGGAAACGGTGATAGTGGTGGACTATCTCCAGAGAAGCAACTGTGTTCCTGCAGTTATAAAAGGTTCGAGTTATGTCGGGGAACTGGCATTTTATAACTCATATTTTGTGAAATTCTATGAACTTTCACCCCGATGTTCAGAGACAATCTTAGATGGACTGGAATGGAATGAGCGTGTGATTTCTCCCTGGCGGAATAATTAGCCCCAAGGACACCAGTGGACCCTTCAAACATGCAAGGGATCACATGCAGTCTTGACTGGGCACAAGCCTCTAAGTGTATGACCCACTGCATAAAACCCCAGTGGATGAATTAAATGGACATGCATGAGTCACGTGTGAGCACAAGATTTCACCAACTAGGGAGGAACCCACAGACTTCTGCCCACAATGTACCCTGCGGAGCCACGAGCAGAGTTGAAAGGCGGTTGGATCCCTCTTCCTTTTTCCCCCTACTTTCCAGCGCTTCCAAGTTGCCCCAAGGCAAGTAAATTAAGTTATCAGAGGAACGTCTAGAAACAAAAGTGGCCTCTAGGTGGTGCTTGGAAGCAGCTCAAGGAGGCCAGCAACCTGCAGGCAGAGCGGAGGGCGTGTGCCCGCAGGTGCTGGTCAGTCACAGCATCTCCGGTTTCCAACGGGTTCCTTCGCCCCTTCCCTTTGCACTAGGCACTGGATCCCACACATCCCTTATGTGTATAAGCCATCGCTGTAACTGGACACAACAAAGCAGAGGTGGGGGAAAGCAATCCAAGGGCTTCTGCTGACTCACTAGAAGTCACTCTGCTGGGGTCTTATTTAAAAATATTTGTCTGTTTCTCCCAATTTTCTGTTTGGTCAGCCCTGTCTCTCCCAGATGGGGTAGGCTGGTGCTGTGGGTGCTACGATTTTGTTCGCTCCTAAGTGCAATGCTTCCTAAAGGAACAGCTACTCCCCATTTTTACCATGATTAGTTCTTGTACTGCCAGGGAGCAAACGGAGAGTCCCACACAGACAAGGCGATGCTCGTTCAGCTACGGAGTCACGTTTTAATCTACTTTGGTGAAGTTTTAAAGGGGGTATGGCAGCTGCTGCATTTGATATCAAGTGTAATTTCAGTAATCTGCACTCTCAGTGAAGCATTTGTCATCAAGAAAAACAAAGGACACCCCCCCCCCCACACACACACAACATACCCTGTGTAAATCCTCAGAAAACATTGGCAGATGTATGGTTTCCCCTACACAGCCTATTCATAGACTCATACTCACGTCTATAGCACAAAGAATGTAAGAAGCTAGAGAGAGACCCAGGCCACTTTTAACATACTTTTTTTTTTTATTAAATATGTAAAAAGATAAACGCAAGTCAAGTTATTCACATATTCAGAGACAAAAAACTATTCTACCATGCGACACTAGGTGGGTGGTGTAAAATGACTGTGATACATCTGAATAAGACTTTTTCATCTAGGTCTTACTTATCTATATTTATAATTAACAATACATGTTTTACATTCCTTTCAGTTTACATTTAATATATAACAAAAGCTTTATGGTGTACTATTTAGTAAAAGTAATTTGAATGCATATTAAACCTTAACGGAATCATGGAAATACTCACCAGGGAAGGGAGTTCTTAGTTTCCTTCTGGAGTTTACTTCTCTCGGTCAACTGGATGGTTTTATTTTTTATTTATTTCTGCTTAAAAGAAGGCGGGCTCTCTCGTTGCCCCCTGCTTCAATCACTTCCTCTCATTGGGGGGATAGAAGTGCTATGCCCAGTCGTGCAGGCGGGAGGAACGGGAAGGAAGCCTGGCTTCTGACAGGGAGGAGCAGGGCTCACTCCAAGGACACTTCTGGGCCCAGCCCAAGGATGTGTGATGGGCAGGGGGTGTGGAGAAAAGCACATCCCAGATGCCAGGATGGCGGATGGGGCACTGGCGCCAGGGAGGAAGGACCGCCCTGGGAAAGGAGAGATGGTCTGCACAGAAGCTGAGACCAAGAGGAAAGACTGAGCCAGTCTCCTGGGCCCGATTTCCCGAGACATCAGCAGGTCGCCTGGATCCCGTGCTATGGAAGATGTCTCAGAGAGGGGCAGAGAGGAATTGAGGGCAATGCCCTAAGTAAGTGAATTGGACACCCCAAGACTTCAGGAAGGAGAGTGAGGTCCAGTGACGTGAACGATCTTTCTGCAGGCTGAGATATCTGGCCAGGAAGTTTGCAGCTGAGAAGGTGGGGGACCAAAGGGAGGGAGCGGTGGCGGGTCACTGGGGAGGCCTATGAAACGGACACAGTGCCCGGTGGTTTCTGGAGAACCGGGGATCTGCTCTCTGTTCAAGAGTACCCCGAGTCCGGAGTCGGGGCTGTGACCCACCCGGCATGGGGATCACGGAGAGGTTCAGAGCAGGCAAAGAGCCGCCTTGGAGCCTCGAAAGCATCCTTTGCATGGAATTAAGTTTTTGTGTCTCTTTGGAAGAGCTACTTCTAAAAAAAAAAGGCGAACCAGTGAGTGCCACCAGCTCCAGGGAAGACGCGGGAAAGCACGAGGCTATGTATAGCACAACCACTCCCCGTCACCAGGAGCGGGAGGATGTCACTGCCGAGAGCCAGGCTTGCCAGCCTGAGAGAAACGAGCTGCCGCGGTAGCCCAGAGAAAGCAGGAGAGAGAAGCAAGGGAAACGGAACATCAAGGAACATCTGTCCAATGCTGCAGAGTGCGCTGCAGTCACCTCAAAAACACAAGCAATCTCTTTCACATGTGACTCAATAAATACCCCTTTGCTGCAAAGACTCATTTTGAGAAGACGTCTATTGGTGGCAAACTTTCGGATGTGAGAATTTAGACTCCACACTTCATCCATTAATAAAGAAATGTCAAAGCTTTAGGATACAGAATTCAGAAATTTATTTTCAGCTTTCTGGTAAAGGGGAAAGGGGGGTGGGGAACGGGCATACTTGTTTTTTGTTTTGTTTTGGTGGCACCTGCTAAGTCCAATAACAAGTGAAAGTAAATCTCAAGTTAGAAACCAAGTGCAATGAAGGATCCAGGGAGGGCTGGTACCATCTGTCAAAGTGGGGCGTGGGGCGGGGAGCGAAGGACAAGATTTGGAAAGGTACTAAGGAAACGTGCAAATGTTAAGTTAAAAAAAATAAGGAATGCTTTAAATTCATTTGTGTTTTTTCTGAATTGCCAGGGCTGAACCAATCGGGCGGGTCAAAGGGCTGGTGGAGAGAATCCCTAACCCCAGAAGCACAGGACTCAGAACTTTCCTGACCTGGCATTCTGGGGTCAGTACAGACTTCTGAGGTGCCACGGAGCAAGGTTCCTATTAATGGGGCTCCCGGGGGGTGGGGTGGGGTGTGGCAGGGGCGGCCCTGAAGCCTCGTGTCCCCAGACCGGAGGAGGATGGCGGGATTGGGGTTGAAACCCTTGTGGGGAGCAGGAACCAGGCAGGAGGGCCTGGCTCGGGGTAGCGCCCCCTGCTGGGCTGCAGAGGAGCGATGCCAGCTTCTTGGGGGGAGTGGCCGGCCACCAAAGAGGACCCTGAGAAAGAAAATTGCATGAGAACTGGGGTAGGGGGGGCCAGAGTCAGTGGTAACAGGGTCAAGTTGAGATGGTGTTTGTTCTCCTTAAGGGAATGTCTTTCAGAAGGAATAACATATTGTGTGGTTGGCTAACACGGGGATGCATGAACACTGCTGGGCCCTGAAGTCCTAGTTTCAAATCCATTTGTTTCTCCTTTGATGTTAGGTGGGGGGGAGGGTGGTGGGGAGAAATGCTCCCCCCCATCACTGTCATTATGGCTTTCATATCAAGTATCTGTTTCCCTTTGTTCCAATTTATCGTGTAACCAAATTTCTACTCAAGAAGTTAGACTTGCAAACATCAAAGCACCACAAATGTGTGTGACATCTAGTGACACTGGGTTGAGAAATGCCAATATAAATACCATATATCAAATTACCATTGTTTCACACCAGGATAAAAAGGGGGGTGGTGGTCGTGGTGGGGTGGGGGTGGGGGAGAGCCGTTCTGGAAGGAAATGAAAAAAAAAAAGAGCAGAACCAGTCTCAAGCAGCCAAGTGGTGGACTTGAAGGCATGTGAGCCCGTGGTCTCGCAGGCAGAGAGCCCCGGAGAGGCCGGCTGCTCATGTGTCTTGGCGGAGGAGATGGGACCTGAGCGAGCGCGCACAGTGGCTGGCGGATGCAACAGCGCGTCGATGTTAACGGCAGATGGGAACAACTGGTTTCTGCTGAGCTTGAGGCCACACATGTTCCAATTCTCCAGAAGAAAAGTTCCCACGCGAAATGCAAGGGCTGAGCGCCTGCCGCCGCGGCTCAGTACTCTTCCTGCTGCGGGGGCGGCTGCTCGTGGACCGGCTCCTCTGCCTCCTGCTCTTCCGGGTGACCCTCCTGCAGGGCAGGGGAGAAGTTGCCGCTAAAGCGACTGTGTGGGTGGTGCCAGCCCCTTCTTCCCCGCCCCGCCCAATCAGGGCTCTGCCCAGCCGGCCAGGGTTCGAGCACACTTGTCCTGCCCAAGGATCATCTACCAGAGCACGGTAGATGCCCTCGGTGATGGGTAAGTTATAATCGGATGCGAAGAAGCAACTGTTAGGAGGGGGAGGTGAAGCAAGGTCCCTGACCATGTTCTGTGGGCTGTCCAGGAGGGCTAAGAAGCTTCTAGAAGGCCTGGGGACATATATTTAGGGGCTTTCCCTTTTGCTTCCTATGTTGACTGTGACCCCTGGGTGTGGTGTTTCCCCACTTGGCTCTCAGTGACCTACTATTCATGCAGGGACCCCAGGGAAGCCCATCATGAATGCGAACTCCAGGCTCCATGTGCGCTTGGTCATTCCTGGCTGCAGATCCCCAAGACCCTCACGAGGACGCGGGAGCCCGGTACTGCCCAAGCAGAGCCGTTCCGAGAGCAAGTGATGGTGTTTCTGTGATGCAGTCGGGAGTGGGCCCTGCACCCACACCTGCTCCGGTGCCCCTTCCCGGCACACGCTCACATCTTTCATGCTCCCACCTGTGCCTGCCCACCCCAAATCTGGCCCCTTGCCCTTCAGCACCAGACCAACCCATGCAGGTCATCCCCTTTCTCTGAAGCCGGCGTCTCTGTCCCTGCAGTACTGTGCTTCTTCACTGGGTGTGAGCCTGACCTCGCCCTGACCGGCTGTGGGAGTCAGAGAACCTCATCCCCCTCCTCACTGTCCCAGCTCGCTCACTGCAGAGCTCAATGTGGGTTGAGAGGAAGAAATCACAGGGAAGGCAGGAACAGATGCCGAGACATCAGTCAAGGTCGCATGCACAATAACATCACAGCAACGAGCCTGTTTCATCTCCTGCCTCAGCTATCTACATGCTGTCTCCGTGCGGCACTGTGCCTCGGTCTCCTCATCTGTAAAATGGGCACCTGTGTGCCAAGAGTTTTCAATGAGTTTCACTGGCTGAATTCCAGAGGGTTCAATGAGCTGCGATAGACAGGTAGCACTGGGCGCATAACTATCGTTAAGTGTGCACTCCGCTGATGCTTGGTGAAAAAGCCTTTTGGAATATATTCCAGAAAGGGGAAAAAAAATGAGTTTTGAAGACTGCAAGCTTTCTTTGACAGCTGGAGAAAGGAACGTCTTGATTCAGGTTTGACTCTTGCATTTTACCCTGGGTGCTTCGGGTGCAGAGGCCCTTTAGGAAGGTCAGCTCTGCCCAGGCTGTTTCTCCCCAGAAACATGGGCGCCTGGCACCTGGGGTCTCTGCTCCTGCCATACTGTCCTTCCAGCCTTCACTCCTGGCTCCTTGGCTGGGGCTGCTCATTGATCTCAGAGCTTGGCCCCCTTTATGCCAGCTCCTCTCCAGACCCTGGGCCATTGCTGCAGAACTCTCCAGGCGTTGCTCTGCCCATGGCCTGGCACACACAGGGGTGGCCCTCTTTGTGGGCAAGAGAGTCCAGGGCTGGGATGGTGCCTGCTAGGGTCTGCTGAGCCCCTTACTCAGGGCTCTCTCTTCTTTGGTCAATGGGGCAAAGAAGGAAAAGACTGCTGGGGAAACGACCAGGAAGTGAGTGGGGAGCTCCTTTGCAGGCTCACAGCCCCCTGGGCCCCCTCCCTGCCCCTGCCGTAGGATGATCGGCCTTGTCATTGGCTCCAGAGTCTGGCTCCCGCTCCTGGGCAGACTACAGGCTGCCCCAGCCAGGCCCCTGGCTCCGAAGCGTGAGGGAAGGGGTTCCATCTAACATCCTGACTCCTTTACCCGGGCTGATGCTCCCCTGGTACTCGGATGGGTGCGTTCTCTGTGGGATGGCTCTGTGACTGTTACATTGAGGCTGCTGGGAAGATCTGTGAAAGGAGTTGGTATTTTACAGAAAGTCCCTGGCCCACATCACGACTGGGAAATCAGGCCTGGAAGTTGGAAGAGTCGGAGTCAAGAAACTGCTCAACCTGTGGGCTTCGGAACCCGCAACCTGCTGGATCAGGTTCCCCTCAGGTCTCTTCTTCACCCCTGCTGAGCCAGAGCGGTCAGTTTTGGGGCCCTGGTCTGTGGCATTGAGTTCTCCAGCTGGCCCGGCAGCTCCATGCAGACCTGGCTGCGTGTGGGCACCTGGCACACTCCCAGGGCAGCCCAGAGCTGCAAGAACTGCAGACCCCACTCCACTCACACCGGGCCACAGCAGCACCCAAAGCCAAGCTCCTCGTGCCCAGGGGCTTGCTTAACTCTTGGGTGCACGTGAAGGCAGCCTGAAGAGTGGCGGGATGCTTCTGTGATTCGGAGGCCGAAAGGTCACACACAACGAGCTCCCAGAGGCAAAGATGGAGTGGGGTAGTTGACCATTGGGCAGGGGCCCCAAACAAATGAAAAACCTCAAAAAAACCCCTGGAGCTCCCAGGGGGAAAAATATAGTAAGGTTTTTTTCTTGGTTGTTTTTATCCAGACCCTGCAGCAGTCAAGGGCTACTCCTAGGTCTGTGCTGGGCGCAGGGTCATCCGGTGTTGGGGGGACTGTGGGGTGCCTAGATGAACCCAGGACTTCAAATGCAAAGCATGTGATTCAGCCCACTGAAATATTCCCCTGCTCCCTCCCCTTCCCCTGCAGTCCCCAAGGTCCCTTTCTTGTGCCCTACATAAGAGTAAAGAAATTAAGTAGCCAGAGAAGTAGGATGCCCGAAAAAATCTATGCTGAACAACTGTCCCAGCATTCCTTATTCTAACAGTCATCAGAAAGAAGCATGTTGAGAGTTACACTGAGGGCAGGCTGGGGAAGGAAGGCAAAGGAGGGAGGTAGGGGCCTAAGAAACTCCAATGGCTTCCTACTTCCCAGAGGTGTGAGGTGACACCCCGCCACCACCACCCACGCCAGCCGCGTCTGGCTGTTCTTCGCTCTCTGCTTTGTTGATGCTATTTCCTCTGCCCAAGAAGTCTCCCACCCCCCTGTAACTGTTGACATTCCCAGTCATCCTTCAACCTCCGACACACACGTCATCTTCTCTCTGAAGTCCCAGCCGGTGCCTCTGGCTGTCTTTATGTGCTCTCCACAAGAGTTTATTTATGTCTCTATTATCACGTGAGTCACCCTCAGACACATTCCAGTTAGCTGTGTCCCTGTCTGTCTCCCTCATGGGACTGCGGCCTTCTGAGGCAGGGGCTGTGTCTTCCTCTGATGGGTCCCATGTTTCATCCAAGGACAGAAACACAGGCAGCATCCAAAGGTCTTTGGAGCTGGGGGGAAATTCTTCAGGTCCTTTATGAGGGGCTTCCATGACAGTTCCTCAGGTGACAAGGGGCAATCTCTCAGCAGCTGACAGACCCACGAGGCAGCACGGAGCTGACTAGTGCCAGGTTGGAAATTAAGGCAAAAGACAATGAGACTGATAAAGAGAGGATGCTTGGTTGGTGACCCACTCTGGAAACACCCATTGGAGGACTGCAACTAGACATGAACTGCCGCTGTTTACTGCCTCACGTAATGAAATTCCCATCTAGACTTCTATGTCCAGCACTTCATGACACCCAAGCATTGCTTGATGATAGGAATCGGGACCAGTTGTCACCAAATACAGGCTCAAAGATCAGGTCTCTCCAGCTAACGCCAGAAATGCCACTGCAGGGATCCTCCAGGTCTGACTTAAGGGGGGCATGCAACTCAGCTTTCTGTTTCACACCTCTCTCAGCTGCTGGACAGAGAAGAAATCTTGGCCCCTCGGATGTCCACATGGTCACAGCAGGGCCCCACAGGACCAAATACTGGCACGTCCTCCTCATACTATGGACCTGCCCTTTGCAGGTGGCTGCAAATTCCTGAAGGAGAGTGCACTGGGAATGGGATGCCGTGTCAGGGACGAGCTCGGTGAGGGGACAAAGAGGCTTCTGAGAGATGGGGGGAAGGGCGGCAGCAGGGACACCGAACCCCATGAGCACATTCTTAGCGAGGTGATGCCTTACCCAGGCAAGGGCGGAAGCCTGCTTAGGGCTCGGTCCCCCACCCAGGACTGGGTCTGCTCTGGAGGTCTGCCCTGGACAAGGGCCTGGGGGAAGGCTAGTGCTTAGATGATCCTGGAGCCCTGCCTAGAGGACTGGGCTATCTGCTTCTGAGCCCCTGTATGTCCACTGTGTGTGTGTGTGTGTGTGTGTGTGTGTGTGCGCGCGCACGCATGTGTGCATGTATTGCTGACACACTGCAAAGATGGCTTCCTGAATCTAGACCATGGCATGCTATTGTTGGGGTGTTTGTGTGTGTGTGTGTAGCTGGTGAACAGTAGTAAAGAAGTTGGGTGCAATCATCCGGGCAGACACCCTGCACCTCTGTGGCTCATGCAGATGCTTACACTCTGGAGCTTAGCAGACAGTATTCCTGGGCAAGGCCCTCTGGGGACATGGCTGGGCTGGAGGTGAGAAGAAGGTTCTTCCTCCTCTGTGTAGTGCAGGGCAGGTAAGATGCCGCCTTGCACATGGCCCTGCATTCCTCCTGATGAGCTGTCAGACAAGTGGCCGCGTGCTCACCCGGGACAGGCTGCTTGCAGGGGAACTGCAGAATTCGCCCTCCCAGACTTATGAGAACACCCACAGCCCGCCTGGCTCCTCACACTGCGCCACTGCGTGTCTCTGCAGAGAACACAATGAACATGCCTCTTTCAGGCCTCACACTCGCGGCAAATCCTCCTTGGGTTTCTTCCCCTGGCTCTGAACTAGGGAAAAATCACGTGGTGGGAAGGACCCCAGCTGCTGCGTCGGGTTCTGCGAGGGGTCCCCAGGCTGCCGGGGCTACCCACCCTCTGTGCTGAATATCAAAGGACCAAATCCCAAGATTTTAACTTGTTGTTGTTAAAAGACAAAAACCAACGTTTGGGGGAAAACGAAGTAAGGGCGAGTTCTCTAAGCCCAGAGAGCTGTGGAAAATTCCATCACTAGGATTTCAAATGTTCCACGGAGTAAACATTTGCCTCGTTGTCAGCTGAAAAGTGACATAAAGTAAACCTGCTGGCGGCTCTGGTCAGCCCGTGGGAAGACGGACACATGCTCAACTCCACCATGGGGTCCGCAGAGCTCTGGGACCAAACGCCTGCAGCAGGGAGCCACTGAAGCCCAGCCTGTACCCGCCGGCCTTCGGCCATGCAACTCTGTGGAAGGGGAAGCCCTGTGAGCTGTCAACTCCTGCCACTTCTTGACCACGTCCCCATCGTCACAGCTGCACACACCTGGGCGATGGTCTCTGTCCTTTCTCTCACTCCTGCTCATCTGGCTTCCCTGCTGCTCCCGCCACCTGCTTTTCACCCTCAGATTGGGCGCTCCCAGGCTTCTCTCTACAGCACCAGCCCACGCACTGGCCCCTCCTCTGACAGAGAAGACCTTCTAGAACTATCTTCTCAGGGCTGTCCCCTCTCCTGACTGGTCTGTGCTGGCGATAAGTAACCAAGACAACCGCTATGAAATGAAATCAGGCAGTTGTGGGGATGTTGGGGGTGCGAAAAGCATTCAGCTGAACCCCCTCGAGCCTCACTCGACGTGTCCTCAAGTTGACATTCCTACTGCTTGTTTGCACACAGGGCTGGAGCCGCGTGCGAGCGGGTCGGAGATGTCTCTCTGTATTAATCCAAGCCTCCCTTCTGCTCTCCCCTCATCCTTTCACATCTCTCCAGATTAATTTATGAATGTGCATCCTGCAGTACGGGCCAGTGGATCATGAAAACCTTATTTATATTTTTTAATCCCAGACTGCTCCGGCTGCATTTCTCACTGGGGTTCCAGGGCCACGTCTGAAGGTGCAGGGACAGCCAGCCTTTGCCAAGGGCACCCCCCACCTCCTGTCCCAGGAGGCCCGGCTCCCCGCACTCACGGGTTCGTCCGAAGCGTAGAGGACGTCCATTAGTCGCTGCACCAGGTCATCGTTTTCCTGCCCGTGCTCTTGGCACAGCAGCTCGATCTCTCTCAACTTCCCAAAGTAGAAATCCCGTTCCTTTTCCACGCCTTCAAGGGCCAGTTTTAACGAATGTACCTGCAGGAGAGTAGAAGTGGAGAAGATGCGCCCCATCCATTAAGACACAGTGTGAGAATGGAGGCCAGGGGCAGGCCTGACAAAGACACACAAAGAAAAGACACCCACGAGGCACGAACAATGGGCTGCTGTCTAGCACCTGAGTCAGGGCCACAATGTCCTACCCCCCCCCCCCCCCCCCCCCCGGTCAGGGCCACAATGTCCTACCCGCCCCCCCCCCCCAAGTCTCACACACACACACACACACACACACACACACCCGACTTCACAAACACATACATCTGACCACACACACACATACGCACATGCACACACATGTGCGCACACACATTCGACCTCACACATACACACACACACACATGCACACACGCACAAACATCATTGCCTATAGCTGGCAGGCTCAAAGCCTTTCCTCTGGAGAAGCAGGGCCAGAGCACAGCTTTATCCTAACCCGTTGGTGGGAGGACAAATGGAGAGGAGGGAGCCTTGTTTCCTCACCCAGACAGCCCCAGCCCCTTGCCTCCAGGCCGGCCCAATCTGCATGGCTTCTCACAGCATGAGGGAGAGTGGGCCAGGCAGGGAGGGGGGCCATACAGTCACCAGGGGCAGAGCCAGGGCAGGGATGGACACAGAGGTGCTCAGGCTTTCCCAGGGGCCACACTCTTGCCAGCACGGGACCCAACCATCCCGCACATTCCCACTCTCTGGGGAGCCCACCACGTTCCCCGCTTTGTGCCTTTATATTTGGGCTGAGAATAACCACTGAGATTAAACCAAGTCTTTCATGCCCCCCACTTAGGCGACATCTTTGTAAATCACCAGGAACAGAACTTCCAACACTTACATCTGGAAGGGGAAACGTCTCCTCAATTTCTATTAACTCTGGGCCCCTGTACAGGCAATGTTATTTGTGTAGAACCAGTGGTGCTTGACACTTGCACACACAGTGTCCGTCCTTGTCCTGTGTGCCTGACAGATGTGTGTGTGTTCGCTCTGTCAGTCTCTGAGTCACCCTCAGCGACGAGCTCCCAAGGCTGCTCACAACCAGTGGAAGCATCACTCTGCTCACTTGCTAACTATTCTTTCTCGCAGTGAAAAGGGTGTGGTCACTGGCAAAAATGGAGGCAGCCAAAGGCATGAAAGCTAGAAAAAATACTAGCCAGCAGAGATGCTTCCTTTCAAACAGTCTGCTAGCAGACAGCTTGCTGGCAGCTCAGGGCTCTGGTATTCACTATTTCCTCCTGCACAAGGCAAGAAGGGTCCCTAGACATCCTCAGCTCACGAGAACTAGGCTGACTGTCTCCCAGGAATGCCTGGGTGAGCACAATGAGCAAAGAGCCAAGACGCCAGCCTTTGCCAGGCTACCCCAGATTAGGTAAGGTAAGTGCAGCAACACGCAGTCCCCAGGGAAAACCAATGGGTACCAAATCAGATGTTAAATATCAACTGGCAAATGAAATCTCATTCTCACTACCCGCCTGACAGACACTGAGGTTCCCCTGCACCCTCACGTCTCAATGGATGTCTGGTGGGGGTGGGCGGGAGCTGGCCATGAGCCCTGGGGAAATGCCAAGGGGAAAGATGAGGGAATGTAGCTCCCTTTGGTCACTTCTCATCTGGTGGCATCCACACTCAGCTCATGGCCCTCTGAGCCACCGTGTCTTCAGGCTAAGTAACGTCCCAGGGATCCCCAGCACAGAGGCTAGACCCTGCCCTATCCTCACCATCCAGAAACAGTTCCTGGAGATGTCATCAGGTCTGTAATCAGTCATTTCTATGACTGAAATTGTTTAATACAGTGAAACTTTTACAACAGGGCATGGGAGAATACAGACAGGAGACCGAGTCAATGAGAATTCTTGCACTTCACTGCATTTGTCATTTTCCGTTACTACTGTATGTCACTGTACCCCCTTAGTCTCAGCCCCAGGTGCTCTCCCACTGCACAGGAGCCCCACAGCCCCAGGGGACTGAGTCTCAGGCCTTCCCTAGTAGCCTGGGGGTGGGTATCTGCAGGCTGAAAGGACAGAAAATTGAGGGAACAATACCAGCCCTGGTAATGAATGAGGAGCAAGTGCCCAGGAAGCAGCTACAGAATGAAAGCGCGTGCATTTCTTTGCGGGACAGAGAGTGGGTACTGGGACACATGAATTGGGCGGGGGGAACTGAAGCCAGGAAGGAATTAAATCAGGAGGAGGAAGCTCATCAGAACCTGTCTCCTCTTCAGTGGCCTTTTGATGGCAGGGTCTGGCCCACTGTAGAGCCCTTAAGGCAACTGGAGAACCAGTGGGTGTAGAGACCAGCCCCTGCAAGAGGAATTGGAATGGGCTGGCTATGGGAGAGAAGCAGGAAGGACCCAACCCAGGGTCTCCATGCAGTCATATTTCCAGTTGGCGGGTTGGGAGAGAGGAATGTGTACAGGAGGATGACTGGGCAAAGTCATAACGAAACCCGAGGAAAGAAAGGATGCGGAAAGAATGAGGCTCCCAAGGAGCAGAAAATCCTAAATCCAAAGGGTTATAAAGCCAAGACCCAATTCTCTTTAGGTCTATTCTGATTTGGTCGGAGCCTTAGGAATGTGGCCGGAGGCTCCTTAGGGTTGGCCCAACTGTCTTTTATCTGAGAACTCATTACTGGAAATTCTATGTGGACTCAAACTGAGAATCAGCAGGTAATTAGAACATTCCACAGTTTCTAAATCAAAGCCCTACCCACCGGATGACTTAGGGCTTTACCTTTTTCATTAAAGTGATCAGAATTGTAAAGAAACACCCTAGTTAAGCAATTGCCTGCCTTTAAAACTAGATTCCTGATTGCAAATATACAATTATCTCAAAAAAAAAAACACAGTTTCCAGACTCTTGCTGGCTCATCAAGAAGCAGATTAATCATGGGGAATGGCCCAGTGAGTGGCTGGGAACAGCCTGAGGACCTGGAATAAAGGCTCCTCTCCAGGATGAAAGGCGCTTCTCTTCCTCAGGGGAGGCTGGGAGGCTCCGTAGGGGGCCCTGCGCTACCAATTGTTTTATTACTTTAAAGCTCCTGGCATCTTGGGGCAAAATTAGCTATCATTAGAAAGCAGAGCTCAGCTTTCAGTGAATTTCAAAGGGAACAGAACTGGATTTTCTGTCACAGTGAGCAGGGAAAGGAGAACTCTTGCACACAGAATACCTCAGAGGGCTACAGAACACCTCAGAGGGCTTCTGATGGATCCAGTACTGGCTTTGGTACTCCTGGACATCAAATTCGGCTACCGCGGGAAGAAGCTTATTGCCTCTGTTTGCTGTAAAGATGAGGAGGGAGGGCCAGGGGTAGATAGCCACCTGGCTGCCACTGTATCACTAGCATCAATTCGTACTGGTCACAGAGCACAGGTTTAGGGGGCTGGAGGGAAGGAGGGAAGTAAGGAGAGAGGGAGAGAGACGAGTTCTGAACACCAACACTGTCTACACTGGCCAGAAGAGGACCAGAGAGCTCACACCAGGCTGGAGCTCCCGGTTGGCACTAAAATGTAGGGGAGGGAGGGAGGCTGGGCTGGGGTGCCATGTGTGGGGCGGTGCTCGGTCCTTTTGTCTTAATGTTCAGCTCTGAGAAGTGATTAACGATCTTATTCATAATGGGCTAATGGGCGGATGATTTTATCTGTCGGACCAATCAGCTTTGATTTGAACTTCTTGGAACCACGGTTGCTGCCTCACTTCCCTCCTGCTCCTCAGCCTGCAGGGCCCTGCTCCCTTATTCCCGAAGGAGCTGGAGCTCGGCAGCGGAGTTACCTGTTCATTGAGCTGTATGACCTGCGTTTCTAAATCTTTATCCGATTTGGATGCTGAACCGCTGGACGATGCCCTTTTGGCTGATGAGGGACGAGAAGGTGTGGATCCTGGTTTAGATGCGGGAGCTGATTTCGCTGCGCCTGCAAGTAACCAGAAAAAATGATAAATGTTGACATCGGCAGGACTGTCAATATCTACATTCAGTTACAGCGAATGTATGATGTCACAGGAGTCTATAAAACAACTTAGGAGGTGGGTGCAGATTAGGTGGTCAGAGGGCAGAAGCACATGCCTTGCTTTTGTGAGGCCCAGAGTTTGATCCTGGCACTGCAAGGTCCCTTGAGTAGTTACTCTAAGAGCACCCAAATACCTTTAGGGTGGCCTTGGTGGCCCCCAGCATTGGTGGATCTGAGCGGTGTCAAATTGCTGGGCTTCAGCAATACCACTCCTGGGAATATATCCCAGAGAGGCAAAAATGTATAGTCGAAGTGACATCTGCACTTGTTTGTTCATTGCAGCACTCTTTACAATAGCCAGAAACTGGAAGAAACCTGAATGCCCAAGAACAGATGACTGGTTAAAGAAACTTTGGTACATCTACACAATGGAGTACTATGTAGCTCTTAGAAAAGATGAAGTCATGAACTTTACATACAAGTGGTACAATATGGAAAGTATCATGCTAAGCGAAATGAGTCAGAAAGAGAGGGATAGACATAGAAAGATTGCATTCATCTGGGGGATATAAAGTAACAAAGTATGAGATTAATACCCAAGAATAGCTGAGATCAGCACCAGGAGGATTACTCCATAACTTAGAGGCCAGCTGGGTATCCTAGAGGAAAGGGCTATTCAGATAGAGAAGGGAGCACCAAATAAAGTATGTTCGGAGGATCCTCCCAGGAGGGGAGATGCATGTCGAAAGTAGACTATGGACTGAACATGTTTGCCACTCAATGCCTCTTTTGCAAACCACAACACCCAAAAGGAGAGAGAGAACACAGGGGATTGCCCTGCCACAGAGACAGGGGGGATGGGGGGATGGGGGTGGGAGGGATATTATCCATGGTGGTGGAAAATGGGCACTGGTGGAGGGATGGGAATCTGATCATTGTATAATTGAAACCAAAGCACAAAAAATTGTAAAATCTACAACTTTAAAAAAATAAAATAAAATAAAGGGAAAAAAAATTGCTGGGCTTGAATTATATTGAACTGTCTGGCCTGGCTGGCAGAATATCACTGGGGGTGGCCCTGGAAACCCTGAGCACTGCTCAGGAGCACTCCCTCCCCCACGAAAATATGAGCTATTCACTAAGACAAAGCCCGTGCGTCATCCCGGAGACTCATTGGCGCTTTGTGAGCATGGCGTTTTTCCAAGTAACATGAAATGAACATAATTGTCCTTCTGCCTTTGGAAAGATGAGTAATCTATGTAAATAACATTTTCTTGTTAGTCTGCTTTGGGGGCCTCCGGGTGGTGTTCTGGTGCCCTGGACATTACTCCTGGTGATGGTTCTTGGTCTACTGAGTCTGCATCTTAATGTGAGGGCATAAGGAGGCAGTGCCAGGGGGCCCCAGGCCCTCCTTTCAATAGGGGACAGAGCTCAGGGTCCTTCAGGGAAGATCCAGAGATGCCTGAGAGGCCACGTGGCACTGGGGGTCAAACCTGGGATGGTCACATGCAAAGAGGTACTGACCTAACAACTCTCTCTCCATGGCTGCTTTCTTGCTAGTTTTAAGGAAGAAAGGTTCTCAGAGAGGTGACAGCACCACAACTGAGTCACAAACAGACAAAGGACCTTAAAATGGATTAACACTTGAGATGAACTGTCAACATTTTGCCCCCGAATATATGCTTCCAGGCTCTAACCACGGACTGATCCTGGAGGGATACTGCCAACAGAACCACTGGGATACTGCAAACATTCCTGCTGCCCCAGTCCTGTTCTGAAACTTTGTTCTGGGATAAAGGGGCTGTTAGAAAAGTGACTGACTGCAGAGAAGGGGCAGAGAGAGTTAAAATCAGAATTTGAGAAACACTGTTGAGTCAAAAAGTAAGGGCGTGCTCAAGGGTTAATGTCAGAGGACACAGGGCCCAACTAGCCAGATACAGGAGAGTGTGCAGGCAAAAATAAGACTGCCTGTGACCTGTGACACACCAGGACACTGAGTCACGAAACTCTAATGCACAAGAATGGGAATAAGAGGATGAGAAGGGAGAGGAAAGAGTGACGTCTATGTGCTACACTGAAAATAACAGAGGAAGTAGTGTTAGAACTGGAACTCACGATACTGCCACACATGTAACTGCCTCCCAAGGTGCTTAAGATGTGTCCATGGGAAAGGTATCCCCAAGACACTGCCTAAATAATGTGTCCCTGGGAAAAGTATTAAGAAATGCCTTGATCCTGGGGCAGTCTGGGCTCAGCCTTTGTTATAACCCCAGTGATTCTCCAGTACCACTAAGGCTGATAGGAAATAGAGAAGAGGTCACTGGTTTCATAAAGACTGCATCTGTCCAGGACTGCTCCCACAAATAGGTGGTAATGCACCAGTGCAGGGTGTGCGGGAATGATGGGGGATGTGGTAGAAACCTCCTGTGCAACTGCGGGGACGTGTGTGTGTGTGTGTGTGTGCGCGGGGGGGGGGGGGGGGGGGGGAGGCTTTCTGCTTGTTCCTTAAAAAAAGTAAATTTCCAGAGGGTCCCGAGTAATTTTTTTTTTCTGAAAAGGGTCAAGTAAGTTTGGAACTTCTAGTCTTGGGAATAAATACCTTTCTCATGGACACATTACTTGGACAATGTCTGGGGATACCTTTCACATGGGCAGATTCTTAGTTTGACACAGATTCTCATGCTCTATAGCAAGGGTGGGAGCCTGCAGACCACATAAGGCCCACGGACTCCTGAGACGTGATGATACAGACACAAATGCTTCTTGTCGGCTCTTCTCTGTCTGCCTGTATTAGCGGACAGTCCCGGCAGGGAAAAGGTTCCCTAGCCCTAATCTAGAACATGGCATGGATGATTGAGGAAAAGGCCTCTGCACTAGAATCCAAAGCCACAAATTACCTGCAATGAAGCACACACACTTTGTGGGTAAGGTTGGACTACGGTGATGGCACAAAGCATCACAGTAGATACTTTGTATGCAAGAGCCCTGGGCCTGATGCCATTGCACGGTCCTATGCATCACACCTGGAGCTGTCCCTGTCCCTGAGCAGAGCTGTGTATGACCTCCCACCCCCGGCCCCCACACCCACACCCTAACCAGGGTCATTAATGGCAGTCCACTGAATACATCCAAACACACAGATTCCCAGTTCTTTTACATGCTCCCATTGGCCCAATTCTCTACCCCCTGCCCCCTACCAACTGATCTTCTAGAAGATCATTCTAGAAAAATCTTGGAAGGCAAGGAACATGTCTCATAATTCAGCTGTGTTATCTGGTGGATCAAGTCAAGAGTTTGGCTGGGTATGCATTTGGTGAAGGACCAAATGCTTAAATAAATATGAGGCTAAATAAATAAAACGTGTTTCCAATTTTATAGCTTATTTCCAACTTCACAGTTCATCAGTATCCACAGGTCAGAAAAGGCAAGAGTTTAAAGACAAGTCTGCTGACAGCTGTGGCAAGTTCCAACCAAGCTCCTAATTACATAGCAGCAAACAGAGAGACTGTAAAAATTCTCTATGAATGTCTTCAGGTGTCTTTTGTCATTAAGAAGCAAAACCATACACACCCCCAAGAGACACTGGGAGCATCATACCTTTAAAGTAAGTATTCTCTGCAAGGGAAAAAGAAAACAAAAACCCAAACAATCCACGATTTGAAAGTACAAAGAGAAGCCCAGTAATACTTTAAAATTAGAACAGGGGATAGAGGGATAGTTCAAGAGTTATGGCATTTGCCCTGCATGCAGCCGACCTGCGTTTCATTCCTGGCACCACATATGGTCTCCTGAGCCCTGCCAGGAGTGATCCCTGAGCACCACCAGGGGTGTTACCCCCCATGCCCTCCTTTCTACTACCCCCTCCAAATCAGAACAACTTAACAGGGAAAGTTTTGTGAGATTCTGAGCATTCGAAGGGCAAACCTTCTGGGACCTCCAAGCCTCACTTCTGCAGAATAATTTCCCTCAGAACTGAAAGAGTTGTTCTGTTTATGATTCCAAATTGCGAGGATCCTTCATCTCTGCAGAGGCCCCTATAAAACACTCCTGGAACACACAAGTTCTGTGTTCCACTGGCCAAGATCTCCAAGTAAAGGCCAAGCCAAAAGGGTGAATAAAGTATGCGCAGAGCAGCCCGAGTCAGGCAGAGACAGACTGACCTGGCCAAGTGCCTTCTCCACCAGCCAGCACAGCTGCTGGGAGGCAGCCTTTGTAAAGTCACATTACTTCAGACCGTTTTTTTTTTTTTATATAAATAACGCCTATTCTAAGATAAAGGAAGTGAGCAGAAGGTAGCACAAAGACTGTCGATGGCCCACACTTTCATACCTCTAAATAAGTGCTTATTAGGAGTCAACCACAAGCTACACACTGCATACCCTGCTCTCCAGTGGCCCCCAGTCTTGTGAGGTGTGTGTGGGGGCTGTGGGAGGGAACTCTCATCTAATTAAAGTCCAGGCCTGGCCATCACATTCGATCTTTTTAAGAACGAGGCAGTCACCCAAACTGCATGACCCTCTGGTGGGGTCTGAGCTATACCTTACACACTTCTCTCTTCTGAGGGGTTCTGGCTACCAACCTTGGGGTCTCAGCCAGGATGAGGCTTCTCTGAGGTACGGTCTGTCAGCTAGATCGGTTCTGTTAGTGAAAAAATGTCTACTTCTCCCTCAGCTGAAAAACTCTACCTCGGAAGCATTCTGTCTGTTTTGCTTACCTCGCTGGGTCCTCACAGCCAATCACACAAGCCTGGTGCATAGGGATCACTTCAAGTTTCTAAAATTCACTAAAGAATTCCATGGAGAGACTCTGGCCAGGGTGAGGAGATCAGGGCGCGCTTCCGGTTTGGCCAGGAACATCACACTTGCTGACAGGAAGGCCAGCAATATGTGAAGGAAAACTCAGCAGTTTCCCTAAAGGAGATGCCTTACTTGACTTTTTTTTTTTTTCAAAATTACTTGGCTTCC